TGCATTCCCCACGCACACACACACACGCAGGGAGCCACACCGAGGGTTCTTGCGGCGGCGGGCTTCGCGTACGACCCCACCCCCCCGTCCATGTCGGCACACCGCTCGCACGTTTCGGAGCCCCACATAGAGCTCCCCCCCCTCGTTCGTCCCTCCTGGCTTGCGGCCTTCACTATTGCATGTGGCTGGATCCTTCGCCAGGGTGCGTCCATGGTCTTCCATTTGGACATCCATGTGCTTTCCCGTCCGGTCTCCGGCAGGGCCTCCTGTATGGTCTCACGCACGCGCAGTGTTATTCGATTGTGGTGTTTGGGGTATCTTGCCACCAGGGCGTAAGATCCCTTCTGTTCACCGAGCTCGGTCCACTACTCGTCAAGTGTCTACTCGCAATCGTCTGACAAAAAACAATGTTCGCTTCGTTGTTCTGGATCGTAGATCCCCTGCGGCGAACCCAGGAGGGCGGAGGGAGGAGATCTGGCAGGGAGGAGGTCCGGGAGGAGGAGGTCGGGGAGGAGGAGGAGGAGGAGGAGGAGGAGGAGGATGAGACCATTTGCGAGCAGCTGCTCGTGCGAGCCCTGGAGCGCGCCCGCCTGTCTGTTGTCTCACCCTCTGCCGCCTGCCCCTTAAAGTGGGCGGCGGGCGGCCGCTCTCCCCCGCGCGCGGCGGGCGGGCGGGCGGGCCTGCCCCGCCCCGCCTGCAGGGCGGGGCCCGGGCCCGCCGATCGCGCCCTCGGGCTTTTGCGGACAGCCTCGAGGGCGGACGCGTCCGTTTCCTCCCTCCCCCCGTGGGAGGAGGAGGGAGGAGGGAGGGCGGAGGGCGGAGGATGGAGGACGGAGGATGGAGGGCGGAGGGCGGAGGAGGAGGAGGAGGAGGAGGAGGCGCAGGAGGAGGCGCAGCAGCAGGAGGAGGAGGAGGCGCAGGAGGAGGAGTCGGGAGGCCTTCGGTAGCAAGTCATGGGAGCCTGGTGTACCCTCTCTTCATTCCGTCTTCAGCGTCGAGTAGCGTCAGGGAGTCGATGGGATAGCCCGATGTAGCGTCGATTGAGCGTCGATGTTGTGTCGATTAGCATCGATTTAGCGTCGACTAGCGTCAATTTGCAAGGGCCGGCAAGATGGTATGGGAGGCTCCCATGGGTTGCCACCGAAGTTTTTTCCCCCCGTCCTCTCCCTCCCTCCCCCCGTCCTCCCCCTCCTCTTTCGCCCCCCTCTTCGGCCATCCTTTCAGCGGCGAGCGGGGGAGGGAAGTGAGGAGGAGAAGGCCTTCTGAGAAGGTGGCAGAACTTCTCAGAAGGTCCCTGGCTTTCTGAGAATTTGTGGTTTTGTCTTCGGGGAAGGGCTATGATGCTCCGACCTACTTTAGCCTTGACCACCAGGAAGAATTTCGAGCACCTATATAAAACCGGAACTCGAGAGTGTTCACGTGGCGGGCCCTGGGAGACACTCGTTCGACACCGTTTCGACACTGTTCCGACACTTGTCCGACACTTTTCCGGGTGCTCGAAACTATTTTTTAGGATGTAGTCCTTAAGAACGATGGGAGCAACGTAAGTCAAGGGCAGAAAAAAACTCCCCTACCCTGGTTTACGAGGCGCTGTGCTCTGAACCTCCTGTGGGCTGACAGGGTAAACCCTGCGTGATGTGCCGCGTCCTGGCGGCTCTAGGCTTTGGGGGCTCCCAGGAGGTTTACGGACCACGCACGTGTAATCCAGGTTAGGGTCGTTTTTTCATCCCTCAAGTAAGGGAAGGGTGAGAACATTTTCCAGAAGGCCCGGGGGACGTCCGAGCCCTCTGCGAAGGCCCGCCCCCTTCTGACTTTCCCCCCGCGCTCGCCGCCGATCCCTCCCTCCCCCCGTCTTCTCCCCTTCTCCGCCCCCCTCCCGTCCTCCTCTTCCTCCTCCTCCTCCTCCTCATCATCGTCATCATCATCCTCATCCTCATCCCTCCTCCTCCTGCTCCTCCTCCTCCTGGTCCTCCGTCCTCCGTCCTCCGTCCTCCTCTGTTCCGCGGTGAGGGCCATCTTGCGACAAACATGCACGCACGAGGCCGCAGCATGCACGGGGAATTGACGTCTGAGCGATGGCGAGGGACGATGGATGGAGGTGGGACGACGACGGCGATCGGCGATCGACGATCGACGACGACGACGACGTGCCAGGGCCTGGGGGGGTACGACATCTGCTGCATGCAGCAGGCTTCGGCCCCACCGCCCGACGCGTTCCTCTATGCATTGGCGCGCCTCCTGCGCCAGAAGGCGTTGGGCAAGCCAGCTGCGTGAGCTGATTCGCAAACTTCCGCCATACGAATCTTGAGTCGGGCATGTCCCTCTACAGGAGGAAAATGCATGAATAGTTTAAAACATAGTTTGGTGACCTCTAGTCGTGCTGTGTGGGTTGGTTTCTATTTTGGTTTGACTCGTTGAACGTTTCTTCCAAAGTCCGCCTGTAGGAGGACATGCCCGACCTAATATGAATCCCCCCTTCCAGTCCAATCCGACCCTCCTGCCTCTGAGGACGAGGAGGGGTAGGGGGAAAGCGGAGGAGGACAAGCTAGGTGCGATCGCGCTTGATCTGACACCCTACCCCATCCTTTCCCATTACGCTGAATGTTTCTCAATCCGCCGACGCGTGTCATAGCGGACCTGAAACCCCCAAAAGAGTCCCATCGTGTTTCGCGCAATCGGAAAAGGGAAGCTGCATGCATTGGAGGAGGAGGTGGCGGATGAGCAGGAGGAGCGGGAGGAAAAAGAGGAGGACGAGGAAGTAGGAAGGAGGAAAGCGAGGACGAGGAACAGCAGCAGCAGCAGCAGGAGCTGGAGTGGAAGGAGCGGGAGGAGCAGGAGGACCAGGGGAAGACGGAGGAGGGGAAAGAAGGGGGCGACAACGATGAGGAGGGCTTCGGATCCAGAAACGAAGCCCGCGCAGGGGCGAGAGCGCCATCCTGAACCACGGGAGTAAAGCGCTGATCCTGAAATGATGCCCAAGCTGCAGCGGGAGCGTCAGTGCGGAAGGATCGAGAAAGTCCGGATTGGAAAAACAATGCGGTGTGCAAAAAAACATACTTGGAGGAGGGGTGAACGGGGGGGCGCCACTCTCAGCACATCTCCAGGGAGAGAGGATGGTAGTATTCCTAACGTGTATTCTTTGGAGGAGGAGGAGGAGGAGGAGGAGAGCATGAAAGAGAAGAGGGGAAGGCCTCCTCCTCCTCCTCCTCCTCCGCCTCCTCCTCCCCTCCTCTCCCTGACCCTATTTTGGTCGACCAGCCACCCTAGGAAAGGAGTGGGGGGTCTGGGGCCCAGCCTTGAAACCCACCCCCGGAGGCCCAAGGCAGCCACAGTTTCACAATATCGGTCAGCCGAGTCTGAAGGACCTCGAGCCCAGCGCAGATCCAACAAATCCGCGCCGGCCGTCGATAGTGTATGTGTGTGCCTTTTGTTATTCCACTGGCTTCGCGGCCAGCGCTGACGGGTTGCCCGGCCCTTCTCCCTGGCGGCGGCGCGAGGGCGCGAACATGATCGCGCAGCGCGGGGCGCGAGGACATGCGACCCAGGGAACCCTTTCCCTTGGAGGCGCACACATCGTTCTCCATAGAGGTTGGCTCTGAGCGACAAGGCATTGTGAGGAAACGCGCTGGCGGGAATACCATGGAGAGGAAGGGCTCTCGTCATTCTTGACTCTTCGCGTATTCCCACTCGCCCGTCCAGAAACGATGTGCACACGGGTTCCCGTAATACATTGATCAGTGGAGTGTAGGAGCAAGCAGGGGAACACGGAGGGGGGGCGGCCGCCTCCTCCTCCTCCTCCTCCTCCTCCTCTCCTCCTCCCCCTCTCATCCTCCTCCTCCTCCTCTTTCCTCCTCCTCTTTCCTCCTCCTCTTTCCTCCTCCTCTTTCCTCCTCCTCCTCCCTCCTCCTCCTCCTCCTCCTCCTCCTCCTCCTCCTCCGTCTCCTCCCTCCACCTCCTCATCCGCCTCCTCCTCCTCTTCTTCCTCCTCTTCCTCCTCCTGTTGTTTCTTCCTCCTCCTCTCCCCCCCCGTCTGTGGTTTTGCATCGCTGACATGACAGTGTCCGATACCTCACAGCTCCAGCAACGGTTTAGACCTGTTCGGTGCCCCCATACCGCTGCTCTTTCCTCCTCCTCCTCCCATCCACCATCCTCTCCTCCACCTGCGCCTCCCCTCCTCCTATTCTCCTTCTACCTCCTCCTCCTCCCCTCCTCCCTCCTCCCTCCTCTCCACCTCCCCTCCTAGTCCCTCCTCCGCCGTCCTCCTCCTCCTCGCCTTTTTCTCCTCAGTATCCTCCCTCTTCCTCCACCCAACCCCACCCCCTGTGCTGTTGCATAGCTGACAGGACAGATCAGATCAACGACGGGCCAACCTGCCTCGGTGCAACCCATACACCTTTCCCCCCTCCTCCTCCTCCTCCTCCTCCTCCTCCACTCCCTCCTCCTCATGCTCCTCCATCCTCCTCCTGCTCCTACTCCTACTTAATACTCGTCCTCGTTCTCCTCCTCCTCCTCCGTTTCCGCCTCCTTCCTCCTCCATCCTCCTCTTCCTCTTCGTCTTCCTCCTCCTCCACCTCTTCCTCCCCCCTCCTCGTCCTCCTCCGTATCATCCTCTTCCTCCTCCTCCTCCTTCTCCTCCTCCCCCCTTCGTCATCATCACCAACGAACCCGAGTTCGTTATGGGCAGTTCTTATGAAAGTATATCTGGATATATCGGCACTGCCAGCGGGCTTTCGAAATGCACCCTGGCTTCGTCTGAACTTTCCACGACACCATCAATGCAGGTGTGGGCTTTTCATCGGCGATATATTGAAGCTATTGGCCTTTTCCCCCGAGGCGGCAGCAGACGAGACCCGCTACATTTGCAACCTCGACGCTGAATGTTTGGACACAAGTGGCAAATTGAAAGGGTACAAAACCGCACGAAGGCCGAGATCGTTGTCGCTGCATCCCGCCGAGGCATTACACACGAGCTCGCTGAGGATCGCTGTTTAGTCGGCAAGATGATGCCTGAGCTGAAGCACCTCGGCGGCATGTTCTTTGCTTCTTGGAGTGACGTTGCTGCACGACGCGAACGACTTCACGCCATCAATAGAGCTTGGGATCAGTTGAGTGGATTCTGGCATTCTGGCGCAGGTTGGGCATCCAAACGCTTGCTATTCGGAGGCTGCGAGCACAGCGCGGCCACCTCTGGCGGCGAGAGCCACTTGTGCATTAAGGCTGGTATACAGGCGTTCGATTCCTGCTCCAGGGCCGCCGGCACTCAGAGGTCAACGGTATTCATCGGTCCTGGCCTTCCCTCAACGTTTGGCGATATTGGAAGCTTACGCCTGCTGCGGTGGAACTCACTGTGCGACGGTTCTGCTGGCGGCGCGACGTACTCACGGACATTGCAGAGCACATCCATTTCTTGGTTGTTTTGTGTTGGCAGTTTGACACTTGAAGGCGCAGCCAACCTGAAGGCACCGATCCTTGACGAGTACGGGGCGATTGCCGAGAACGCACCCATTCATCCCTGGGCGGAGCAGCTACGCACGGACATCGAGATTCTTCTCACGATCGGCTTGGCGACCGAGTTGCGAGACACGTGGCATCCAAGGAGCATTGAGAGGCTTTTGGAAGACGAGGAGCTCCGTGACACTACATCGCGATAGTCCCGCGCACCTTGCGCGCTTGTTTTTCCCCAGAAGTGGCACCCACACGGTGCGACGCTCGAGGATCAGATGCCACGGAGGGAGAGATCACAGGGGTCGCCGGCGCCAAGCTCCTCACGCGCGAGATACATTTGAAGGGCGGATCGAACTGTGGTCGGTTTTTTCCCCACATGCTTAGTGGGGTTCTGTTTTTTTTTGCCTGCCGTGTCGCACCCGCGGCCCACCTCACCCACCTCATCCCACCCCACCCTTCTCACACAGCAGAGCACAGCACAGCTCAGCTCAGCACAGCTCAGCACAGCTCAGCACAGCACGGAGCTCAGAACAGCACGACACACAGCTCAGCTCAGCTCTTCTCAGCATAGCGCAGCGCGCAGCACAGCACAGCACAGCGTATCACAGGACAGCGCGGCACAAACACACAAGCAGCGCAACACAGCACAGCACAGCACAGCACAGCACACAGCTCAGCACAGCACACAGCTCAGCACAGCACAGCACACCACAACACACGCGCACACACAACGCACACAACGCGGCGCCTATGCGGGCCATGGCGCCAGCCGTGGCATTTCCTCGACACCAGAGGGGGTGCGCAGGGGGTGGTCTCCCTATGCGCGCCAGGGTCGTCCAGACATAGCAGGCGTGGCATTCTCTCGACACCAGAGGGGCTGCGCAGGGGGTGGTCTCCCTATGCGCGCCAGGGTCGTCCAGGCAATAGCAGGCGTGGCGTATTCTCGACACCAGAGGGGGTGCGCAGTGGGTGGTCTCCCTATGCGCGCCAGGGTCGTCCAGGCATGGCAGGCGTGGCATTTCCTCGACACCAGAGGGGGTGCGCAGGGGGTGGTCTCCCTATGCGCGCCAGGGTCGTCCAGACATAGCAGGCGTGGCATTTTCTCGACACCGATGATGGGGAGCGCATGGGTTGGTATCTCCAATGCGCGCCGGTCGTCCCAGGCGTAGCAGGCGTTTTTTGAGCATTATCCCTCGACACCAGAAGGGGGTGCGCCGAGGGGGGTGGTCTCCCTATGCGAGCCAGGGTCGGAGAGCGTGGCAGGCGTGGCACTTTCTCGACACCAGAGAGGGTGCGCAGGGGTGGTCTCTCACCGCGGCGTCTATGCGAGCCAGGGTCCCAGAGCGTGGCAGGCGTGGCACTTTCTCGACACCAGAGAGGCTGCGCAGGGGTGGTCTCTCACCGCGGCGTCTATGCGAGCCAGGGTCGGAGAGCGTGGCAGGCGTGGCACTTTCTCGACACCAGAGAGGGTGCGCAGGGGGTGGTACCCCCCCTCTCCGCGCCACGGCTCCAGAGCATCGCAGGCGCACATTTCGTTCGACACCAGAGGGGGTGCGCAGGGGTGGTCTTCCCTATGCGCGCCATGGACGTCCAAGGCAATAGCGCGTGGCATTATCTCGACACCAAGGGGCTGCGCAAGGGGTACTCTCCCTATGCGCGCCAGGGTCGTCCAGACACAGCAGGCGTGGCATTCTCTCGACACCAGAGGGGGTGCGCAGGGGGTGGTTTCCCTATGCGCGCCAGGGTCGTCCAGGCATAGCTGGCGTGGCATTTTATCGGCACCAGAGGGGGTGCGCAGGGGGTGGCCTCCCTATGCGCGCCAGGGTCGTCCAGGCATAGCAGGCGCGGCATTTTCTCGACGCCAGAGGGGTTGCGCAGGGGGTGGTCTCCTTATGCGCGCCAGGGTCGTCCAGGCATAGCAGGCGTGGCATTTTCTCGACACCAGAGGGGGTGCGCAGGGGGTGGTCTCCCTATCCGCGCCAGGGTCGTCCAGGCATAGCAGGCGTGGCATTTCCTCGACACCAGAGGGGTGCGCAGGGGGTGGTCTCCCTATGCGCGCCAGGGTCGTCCAAACATAGCAGGCGTGGCATTTTCTCTGCACCAGACGGATTGCGCAGGGGGTGGTCTCCTTGTGCGCGCCAGGGTCGTCCAGACATAGCAGGCGTGGCAGTTTCTCGACACCAGAGGGGGTGTATCCAAATGCCAGGCGACGCCGGATATGACCGTCACAGATGACTCCTCAACCCCTCCTCTCCCCCCACACGTCCTCCCCCTCCTTTCAACGACCACAGGGGGCACCTGAGAGCGTGACGGCGGTGGTAGTGGTAGCGCGGTTCACACAAGACACAACATCAGTATGTGGGGTTCCTCGGTAGCGCAATCACTTCTCTGGCTGCACCGCGCGCCCAGCCATCAGATGAGCAGTGTACCCAGTCTCTTGGTAGTGGACAACAAATGCATGATATGCCATACGGTATTTCGCCGTCCCGATCACTGTGCACGCCGCTTTCTTTGCGGGTGGACCGCCCGTCGCGGCGCGCGCCAGAGCGCGGCGCAGTTGCTGCAGCGCAGGCCCCCCGACTGCCTCGAGCGCCCGATCTGCAAAGAAGCGCCCCACCTTCCCCCTTCCCTCTGGGGCCCTCGGGGGAGCGGTACAATCAGCATCTGCAAGGGCGAGCCAGACTGCAGCAAGCCGCACAGCCACCCAACTCTCATCATCAGCAGCTGCCTGCGCCTATATCAGCAGCGCCATTCAAAACGGCAGTCGGGGATTTTGCATGAGCGTCACCAGCCACACATGATGCAGGTAAACCAGCACCGCAGCAAGCAGCTGTAGTTCAACCCAAGCAAGCAGCAATACCGAAATCAGCACCGACACGCGCGCGAATCCGAAGCAAAACTACACCGAGCCGAGCCCAGCCGTCAGCGACGCCATCATCACCGTCGTCGTCTCCGTTGGCATTTGGCTCGGTTCTACCGAGGCTCTTCGCACCACTCTTCGTACGCATCTACCAGTGCATTTTTCGGCACGACCATGGGTTGTTCGAGAACTTCTGCGCCGAGGGCGTCATCAGCTCGCGCCCCGTCCTCGGCCTCGCGCGGCAGAATTCTCACTGGCCCAGCGCGGCGCCCGCTGGCACCCTCGTCAGCGTCGGGGACGGTGGAGCCGTCGAGGCCGGAGACAAGCGAGGACCCCCCCCCCCCCGAAGCGGGGCAACGGCGGCGCCGCGGACGACGCGACGCGGCAGCTAGAGGCGCAACAAAGTGACCCAGGTCAAAGACAACGGACTGAAAAAGCTCTTGCTACTGATACTCTAACAGACGTTGAGCAACACGCAGAAGGTTCGAATGATGGAAGGCATCATGCTGTACTCGTTTATCTTCCCGAAGAATCACAAGCCCGTTCAAGCACTTCAGGAGGAGCGGGGGCATTTCGCCCAGCGCGTGGAGGAGTGCCGCAAGAGAAGGAAAATAACCCCATGACCGATCCCATCGGCCCGCGCCACGCGCTGCCGTTCGCGGCGCCGGTCGAGGCGGCGGCCGCCATCGAGGCACGCGGCGGCGACAGCGCGAAGAAGATCTAGAGCTTGGCCCAGGGCATCAGCAGTTGCGAAAGGGCCGAAGACGCGGGACAACTGCTTCGCGCACGCCGTCTGCAGAAGACGGCGCAGGGTGACCCGACGAAGACGGCGCAGCTTGGAGACAGGCGATTCGGTCTACTCGACGGTTTTCGCCAGTGCGAAGGGCGTCATCTGCGGGGCTCGGTCCCCGAATGGCACGTGGAAGAGGAGCTGCAGGAGTGGGCCGAGTGGATGGAGGCGAACCTCGCCGAACCTCTCATGAAGACGCACCTGCGCACCCCCCTTCGGCCCAGTCGGGCCTCGGGCCGTGTGCCCAAGGGAAACGGAATGATGATTGAAGTGCTGACATTCACACCGACAGTGTGAACTGTGTATCTTGACGTTTTTGCTCGGCTACCACACCTTTGATGCAAAGTGCGCGACGACGCGGTCTCGGAGCCGGCGGTCATTGGTATTCTGTCGTCGAACACGGCCCACAGCGCCAGGATCAAGCAGCTCGGCTTTCGTCGTTCCGCCGTGTTCTGGGTGAGGCTCGCGCCCGAAACAGCCGCTGTTTTTCCTCCTGTCCCGCGCGTGTCTCCCCGCCGCTCGGCCTTGCCCACCCGCCCGTCCTCGGCTTTTTAGGGTCTCTTTGGCATCGGGCTCTGCGGCGGCTCGCCCCGCAGATCGCGCCTGTGCTGGGCGACCGCCGCCACTGCACTGAGCGCGTAGTGCTCGGCGGTGCACATTCGCTATCGCAGCGGACAGAGGGCCCCCGCACTGACCCCAAGTGATCCCTCCCCCTGAGCCCCGACTCTGTTAAACGATCATCATCAACCTACTCACGCGCACCATCAGCATCATCGCCATCACAGCAGCAGCAACATCAGCATTAGCATCCTCATCATCAACACCATCATATGTTTATTTTTTCTTCTCCTCCCCCCCCTCTGCGGCTCCGCTTAGCTGAATGGATTGCGACGGGTTCGACCTGCCCGATGCCCCCATATCCCTTCATTCCTTCCACCATTGCTGCTCTTTCTCATTTTCCTCCTCCTCCTCCTCGTCCTCCTCTTCCGTCATCCTCCCTCCTCCTTCTCCTCCGCCTCCCCCACCGCCACCTATTCCTCCTCCTTTTCCGTCTCCTCCTCCTCCGCACCACCACCACCATCAGCACCATCATCGGCTTCAGCATCAGCATCATCAGCAGCATCATCAATATCATTCTCATCACCCGCATGATCAGCATCACCAGCAGCAACAGCATCACCATCATCAGCATCATCATCACCATCATCAGCATCAGCATCAGCATTCTAATCATCAGCATCAGCTTTCCGCTCGCTATCCTCCTCTGTTCCTTCCTTTTTCTCTTCCTCCTCGTCCTCCTGCTCCCCCCCGCTCTGCGGCCCCGCATTGTTGACAGGACAGCGACGGGCTCGACCCGTTCGGTGCCCCCGTACTCCCGTGGTCCTTCACCTTTCTTGTTTTTCCTCCGCCTCCTAACCCTCGTCCTCCTCTTCCTATTCATCCTCCTCCCCCTCCTCTATCCTCCATCCTCTTCCATCCTCCCTTCTCCTCCTCCGCATCCTCCTTTCCCCTCCCCGCCCTCCTCCTTTCCTGCCCTCCTTTTCCCCTCCCCCCCCCTCTCATCATTTCCCCATGCTGTGACATACTACGGTTTGCGGTGGTCTTCTACGCCATGCCAGGCCGTGCTCTACAATGCATCCCGTACCCTTTCGGGATCATTGCCCTGCTCGACAGCCGACCGTGCGAGTAGAGAGGGGATCTACGCCATGGTAAGGGATGGGAGGGAGGGGTTGGATGCCAGAAGTGACGCGAGCGCACGTAGCTTGTCCTTTCTCCTTTCCCGTACGTTTCCCCCTCTTCCCGTTCCGTCCTCCTTTTCCTTCCCCCATCCACCTGTGGCTCTGCATGGCCGACGGGACAGGACATCCGACACTTCACAGCTCCAGCGACGTGTTACACCTGCTCAATGCCCCCATACCCGTAAGATTAGAGTGATGGGGGTTGAACCGAATGGTCATTCACTGTCCCTGGGTGCGTGCCTGAAGGGCAATTCCGCGATGCGGATTATTACTGTTGTTGTTGTTGTTGTTGTTGTTGTTGTTGTTGTTGTTGTTGGTGTTGTTGTTGTTGGTGGTGGTGGTGGTGTTGTTGTTGTTGTTGGTGTTGGTGTTGTTGTTGTTGTTGAACACTGTTACTTCTAAAGAATTATTATTGTTGGACCCCCTGGTGCACGCCCCCCGCCCAAAACCTAGGCCGCAGCTACATTTTCATCATTTTTCTGCGAAAGCTTCAGAAAAGTGGATTACCCCCGGATCCGGTTTTTTGTTGACGCTCGTTTTCCCTTGCAAAAAACAATAGAAAATGAAAATTCTTGTTCTTAGTTGATCAAATTGCAAGAATCCCTTGCAAAAAATAAGGTAAAGTGGACATTCGTGCGCGCAAGACGAAATCCTTCCAAAACCTTAGGTTTCGTACGATTTTAACATAAAAACATCAAAAACCCAATGGTTTTTTAAGAAAAAATTGTCAAAATGTCCTTCCGCGCGCTCTTGCGGATTCATAGGAATCACACCACTTTTTAAACATTTCTGTCAAAAGGGTCTTTGCGTGCTACTTCTTCAGGTGCTTTGAACTTCTCCAACAACGGTTGCGCGCCTGCGAGGGCCACCATCCCTTGCAAAAAATGAGACGAAGTGCACATGCGCGCGGCCGCCGCGCGCGCATGTCGAAATCCTGCCAAACACAATGGGTTTCAATAATTTCAAGATGCGATGTTCAGAAAACAT